TCTCTCTCTCTCTCTCTCTCTCTCCACTGTCTGCTCTACTCATTCATTTAATTTATTTTACATTTAGATAATTAATAAGATTATAAGCATAAAGATTACATAAATTAGTGAATGTGGGAAAGAGAGAAAGGATTATTAAATAATATTTATAGTTTTGTTTATTATATTTATTATTTATAGTTTGCTATATTAAATAATGAATTTATTTTTCCAAAAGGCTGTTCCGGAGGAATATTGTTCTTCAATCTATTTCTAGAGCGAATCATAACATTATTGGCTTATGTTATGCGAAGATATCACGAAAGAAAGATCAGAATTATTAACCAAAGACGCGATTCTTTGTATAAGAATCGGAGGGAATCGTGTGTATCGGTGGATGAAAAGCTGGACATGAATTGGAAACCATCGGTGTATTGGGTGATGACAGTGTTGGCCACTTTCACAGTACTCATAGCCATCACCGCATCCGTCGTCTACTCAATGGTCGAGAAATGGGATTATTTTGATTGCATTTACTTCTGTTTCGTCGCCTTTTCGACCATTGGTTTCGGCGATTTGGTCACAAACGAGAGGACAGACTCCGGTCTCGACGCATACCATTCCCACGTCTACAGAGTGGCCAACTTTGTGTTCATAGCGTTGGGCTGTTGTTGTATTTATAGTCTGTTTAACGTCACGTCAATCGTAATCAAGCAGTTTCTGAATTGCATAATCAAAAAACTAAACTTTCGGTGCAAGTGTTGCCGCAAACACGCGGCACCTGTGCTCACGCAAGTGACCAGAAGTCGACGCAACGCTCTGACTCCGAGTCATTTGCGGAACTACTCAAACACCGGCCCGAAGACAGTGACAGTGAAGGCCAGTATAGCGACGGCCGCCGACTCGAGTGATAACGACTCGACGTATGACTCGGACTCCGAGCGCCGGAACTCATCGGAAATGATTTGCATGAAAGACGTGATCAAAACGAACAAAGTATCGCTCGCTATACTCCAGAAGGAGTTGTATGAATGCGCTCAACGCGAGAGGAACTACAGAAGTCCTGCCATTTTGTTGCCATCGAAAGCCAATGATAATGACTTCAGCGTCAGAACAGTTGGTCCGCTCGCCATCGCCACCAAGAAATTAAGCGAAGACGACAATTGAGACACATTTCTCTTAGGATTTTTAAGCTATATTTTTGGTATTTTAAATAAATTCAATTAAGTTTTAATTATATTAATGAAATTGATTTATGGATAACTACACAATGGATTAATAATAAAGTTTTTTAAATTAATAATTAGTTAGTAATTAAATTTCAATTGAATTTCAACACAAAGTATTTCGCTATGAATTTAATAATATTCTGTAAATATAAAAGTATTTAGTATTTAAACAAATATAGAAAATTGTATTTCAATGGTTTGCAAATAATTAATTAATTTAATTACTTAATAATACAACGAATAAACCAAATGTTTTCAAACAAGTGATTCAAATAAGACTAGAATTTATTATTTTCCCTAAAATATAAATTTTTAATAACAAGTTTTCTAAAAATTACATTTAAAAATTAATGGCAACACATTTGAAGGGAAGACATAATACACAGAGGCAGTTAATTCGGGGGCCAGTTAATACGGGTGTAGGCGCAATGCTTACCTGCAATGCTTCAGTTTAGCTATATTTCCACGATATTGCCAGCATTGCAGTGAAACATTGCGCCTACACCCGTATTAACTGGCCCCCGAATTAACTGCCTCTGTGTACATATTTGACATGTATTTAGAGATTAAACACAACTCGAAGTCAGAATCGGAGACACGATTAGTGCGATTAACTGTAAAGTAAAGTCTCAACACTTTATGCGTAAAATATAGTTAAATATATTTGTATTGAAATGTATTGAAAGTTTTGGTCCACTTTTGTGTGTTTTCTCGCGATTTGTTTTAATAATGAAATGTTTAAAAATAGTTTTCAATTCAATTTAACCGTTAAATCAGTTACTGTTTGACACATATTCTGTAAATTCTGCAAACAATCCAAAGAAGTGGTGAAGACATCAAACCCAAAGACATGAATGACATGAATGGCTGGAGGAGTGATGTCATGAATGATGACATTCTGGGACTCATATTCAAGCGGTTGGACATCAAAGACTTGTTTGCATTACAAGTAGTGTCGGAACAGTTCAAGGATTGTTCACAACAAGTGCTTCAGAAGAGGAGTGAACTGAGCGTTGGATTCACTGAATTGAAGGACACCTCAAAGATGAAGTGTTTTAAACCAAACTTTGAGGCCGAAGACTGGAATCGCATTGATATCACACCAGCAATCAGTTTGAATGGCTTCGACCTCTCAATGGATTACAACCGATACCAAAGAGTTGAGACAATTGTCCGCCAATTCCGTGCCGTCAAGAAGTTATATCTCTCCAAAACTGTCATCAGTTTCAAGACATTGGAGATATTTGTCGATCAATTTCCACAACTCGAGAACCTCTACATCTATGAGATCCGTATCAGTGATTTGAGTGAACAGACAATCACCGAATGGACACAACTTCTGTCAAAAGTCAAACAACTAGTGATCGGAAGTATTGGCTCCAAATATATGCCATTTATGAGAGACCTGATCGCACGCTTGCCATCACTTCAAAGTGTTAACGTCTGGGGATTAAAGTCAAAGCGATCCGATCCCACAATCACTCTCTCATCGCTGACCGACTGTTTGTCGGCAAACATACAATCCCTACACATCGGCGTCACTTCAGCGGACAGTCAGGCCATTGATGTGATCACAAGTAAATGCACGCAAATAAAGACACTATGCATTCATGAGTCGTCTATTCTTCAAGTGATGTTCGACCCGTTGAACCTCTGGAACCAATGGTTTGCATTGGTCTTCCATCGACTCAAAGGACTCACATATTTGAAGATTACTTTGGGTGACATTTCCACCAAAGAATTTGCCAAAGGAATAGCAAAACTACAAAATTTAAAGACACTGGACATCAGTACAGGTTATCATCAAACATCTGCACAGACCCCACGCATGTGTTTCGATGTCCAAGAGATGTCCAAATACGTGCGGCCAATGGTATCGTTGAAAACGCTAGTATTACATGGATTAGACTGTTCACCAAATCGGTGGTCAAAGTTTGCACAACTCTTCCCGAATGTCCGCCGATTTACTGTCGATCACATGTATTATGGCATCGATTGTACGCACGGAGAGGACTGTAATCTATGTTTCTATCAATGCGTGGATTTCGTGTCCAGATTACCACAACTAAGACAAGTAAACATCTTTGACCCCTGCGATGGTCGGATCACAAGACATATTCTGACACTCTTTGCAGATGTCGATCGCCTGAGCGTCGGTTCGATGTTTCAACGCAATGAAGATATGATCGAAGAGCTGATCCACTTTACAGTCTTCACACTCGACAATAGGCGACGAGAATTCCGTTTGGATTTAAAACAAAATCTCAAGAGTGAACTGATCCAAAGGATGGCACAAAATGATGTCCAAATGAATGGATGCGTGACTTTGGGCCAAGTCTTCTGTCATCGCGATTTAAGACTAATTCAATGAATGACTAATTTATCTGTTTTTCAACCTATTTTTTCTCTTCATTTGATCAAAATTTTGTGAAATAAAAATTTCAAAAACTAGTTATTTTTGAGAAATAAATCGATTCTATAGTTAATATAAAAAATTCAATTTCAATTGTTTGCAAATAATTTATTAATTAAATTACTTAAGAATACAACGAATAAACCAAATGTTTAGCAAAAAAGTAATTCAAATAAGACTAGAATTTATTGGTTTTTCTCTGGAATATGAAATTAATTGATGAGAAGTTTTTAAAAAAAATTAAAAAGGATTTAACGATTAATCATAAAAATAAATAACAGAAGTATAGAAAAAGTTAACACGATTTTGAAGAGTTTTATATTAAAATTAGAAACATTTAAAAATTGGTTTTAAAAACACATGAAATTGTCTTTTGTGTCGTATATTATAAAAAATAAAATTAAAAAATAATTGCAAATTAGTCTTAAATTTGAAGTACAAGTCCGGCGGCGCTCACGTTATCGCCACCGCCGCCCGTTTGCAGCACTTTTGTACAGACGAGTACCGGCGCCACACATATAGAGGTCTCATGAGTGGCGCCGTTGTCTTGGCTCACACTCTCGTCCCAACAGTTGACCGGATTCTTGGCGTCGAAACCAATCCGTCGTTTATTGCTATCGGAACGAGTCGTGGAGAAGGACTCGTCGACAATGAGTTTGGCTTTGTTTACGTCAATCACTTCTGACCCGCACTTCAATTTCAAAAAATTACATTAAAAAACTTGACATAAATTAATGTTTAAGTCAATGAATACCGTATGCCTGTGTGCGGTGAGCGCCGCCTTAGCACTGCTGGCCATCAGTGCCTTCCAGTTGGAACCCTTCCTCATGAGAATTGCTTGGAAGGCAAGTGTATGGACGTGAATGCGAGTCAGTTGTCCGGCGCTATCGCTGTTCAACACTGAGTACAAGTGTCTCATTTGGTCCAAAACAAGCGCCACCCGTGGATAGGGATCCGAAACGACCGATAGGTTGCCGTAAACGTACAGATTATACAAATTCTGCGCTTCCTGTTCGTTGAGTCCAATGCTATCGACGATCGGAAATATCCTATCGGTAATAGTCTTGAGGAGCGCCTCCTCGGCAAAGGACGCCATTTCGAAGTGAATGCGAACTTTTGGGTCATTCGTACGCAAATCAATCAACGATTGTCTCAACACTTCGATCCGTTGTTTACGGATTTCGATATCGATGGGGAAGTTGTCCATCATTTGAAGGCCGCTTACGATCACTAAATCGGGCTTAAAGTCGACCGCCTTTTCGTAAAATGTGTCCAATGAGTGGAGGAGTGGGTTCTTGTTGTCGTTGTGGACAATGAAACGGTTAGCCCGCGGACTCACGTATTTGTTGTCCCACTTCTCGTCCAACGGGTATTCGAGCAGCAAATGGATGTCATCGGAGGGCAGATGAGGACAACTCAACACCACATCCGATGGCAATTGGCTCTGGAGTTGAGCTGACATTTGAGCGGCCAGTAGTACTTCGCCGATGCCTTCTTTGGCAAAACGTGAGGCCATTATCGGAGCGTTGCCTCCAATCGTACGTTTGGTGTGTCGGCCAGTATTGGCCGCAGCGACCAGTTCTGCAAATAGCGTACTGTTTTTGATATAACGCCTGTTTGGGAGACATAAATGAGATAATGAATGGTAAACACATAAAGAATAAATGAAGACATACTCGGCTGCGGCACCGAATTGGAAGAAATAGGCGAACGATTCCAAGAGTTCATCTCTGGTCTCAATGATATCGTAAGGTTTGGCCACTTCTGGTGGCGAATACCTGTCGAGCAGTACATCGCGTGTCTGCGCGACCACATCCACACACGAGCCGAAGCCGATGGCAATCTTCGTCTTGGGATTCACTGAAACGCTGTCTTCGATGTG